ATTCACGGGTATTTAATTTACTTTCCACCTGTTTCGTAACTCCTAAGCCACGCCCAATTAATCCCTAATTCATATCAACCTATTACTACTTTTTTAACACATCTTTTGTTAGTATTAATAAGTTTAATATTATATGAGGCTTATAAAAATTATTTTATTATTTAATTTTAGCTTATAGTAAAAAATGTTTTTCAAAAAGTATTTGGAGATGTATATTATATTGGTACCATTTGTCATGTTTATTTGTTTATTTATTGCGTTAGGAGAAGGACAGTGGTTTTTCGTGTCTTGTTTAACAAAACTAAAATTTGTAGACCACTTCACTTAATGGCAGTGAGTGTGGCACATCCAAATGAGTGGACGTGTTGGCTGTTAAGGGATAAGCCAACCCATGTGCTAATTATTGTTTTATTAAAGGAAACTTATTATAAATAGATCCAAACAGTTTTTGCAAAAATGTCTTCAAGAAATCATATTTCTCTTTCTTTTAATTGCTTATAAATCAATGTCACAAAATTATTCTAATTTAATTAGTGATGTGTGATTTTTTTCTAAAAAAAATAGTATTGTCGTGCATCGAAATAAGTTGGGATTTCGCTGAATTTTTCTTCCTTCAGCTTTCTTTTACGTTCTTCTATTTACCTATGTTTGTGATGATGGTTAGTAATGCCTTATGTGCGGATAATTTTTCTGTTAAAAAAATTAATATTAATGTTGTAAAATTTAACATAAAATTCTAGTTACTAACAAATTTTTTTTTAAAATATTGATATCAGTGTTTTCAAAATTTGACTTGATCTAAATCTTGAATTGGATTTATGTATTTGACTCATTACAATTTAATATGAATTGGGTTAACTTTTTTATTAAATCCGTAAATGGATGGGTCATGATTTAGATTAGTTCAACCAATGAAGATGTTTTGAAAAAACAAAATGAAGAGAACACGGATCACATAGGAATTAAACCTTTATTTTTGGATAAGAAAAGAAACTTATTGACCTTTAAACCAACCACTGCACCAACAAACTTAATTATTATATAAGCAATTTAAATAAATTTTATAGTATAATTAATTTTAAGTTATATATTTAATAATAATACGTATGCACATATATCTATATTATTTTATGACATAAATTACAACTATATTATATATATACATATTATTTATATTTTTAATTTATATTGATTTATAAAGTTTAACATATAACTTTTTTATGTATTTTTTTATATAAAATAAAATAATTTTAAATAAGATGAGAATTAAACTCAAGTGAATGTCATTATTTAATACTTATATTTGTTTGAAGATTTTTTTAAAACATTATATGAATTTATTCAAATTTGTAAATATGATATGTATATCATAAATATTTTTTGAAAAAAAAAATAATAGAGACTAAGTTATACAATTTAATTAATGATTTACAGATTTAATCTTTGATTTATCAATTTAATATTTTAACTAATTTGATGATTGGTTGGATGTTTAAAACTATAATTGATATAGATATGTGTAATAGATGAAAAAAAATATTGTGATTTCTAACATAGCCGAAGAGAGAGAGGGGGAACCAGATTAGTAATAATACTAGCCTCAGTTTAACATTGCTGGAACTTGAAAAAATGAAATATAAAGAGTATAAAGGAAGTGACCTAAGTGTACAACCCCGACACATGTGACTACTCTTCATAGTTTCGAGGTTTGGGTAAGGATAGGGAGACACACCTCACATGTGACTAATCTTCATCTTAATAATATTGATCTCCAATTGCTACAAGAACTGAAATTACATCTAAGTAGTTACCAATATAATTTTTTTTTAACAAGTAATTGATTACCTTTGTGTGTAGACGAATTAAGTTACTCCAATTTTTTTTTTTTTTAAGTTACTCTTCATTCTCTTTTTTAATTTTTTAAATTTAACAATTTTAACGAATATCTCACATTTGACTATTAGATTAAAAAAAAAGAGAATAAAGAATAAATAAAATGAAAAATGCAGGTATGAGATATAAGATTAATACAAGAAAAACGCAAATCACTAAGGTTTTTTTTTTAATGAAAACACTAGTGGGAAGTGGTGCATTATATATATATATATA